AAGTCCGCATTTCAGATCCCACAAGCTGGCCCAACTCTCCACACGATTGCGCTACCAGAAGTCTTCTTTCCTCATACTTGTGGTCAATCTGTGGACAATTCATCATGCTATCAGGATAAATAGAGAAAAAAATGCGCCCGCGACTAGTCACACTCACAGACCCTAAATAATCCAGAAGAGAACCAACCTTTGGCAGAGCCTCAACTGCAATAATAATACCCATCAGAGGATGTGATTGTGACACATACCTGTTCCCAGCATTGTGGTAGTAACTCAGTCTCGGTCCGCATTTGCCCAACTTTTTTGGATAGCTCTACACATGCCTGAAACATAACAAACTCAGTTTCAATTGCTACTGCAAAAATCGGAGAATAATAGATGTCAAAAAGCATGTTCTCTCAGACATCAGTTTCTTCTACTAAAATGTTATAATTAAAGACACAGGCCGCTACCATACCGCTAGAAAGTAACGAAATTAATGAACAAATAAAAACATGACTGTTTTCAGATGAGTCGGCACAACAACGGCGATACCCACTATCCAAGAAAGTCTTGACTTACATCCATTATGATATGTCGTTGTGCTTCGTCTGGTCGTTTAATCAGATTAAAGAGGAGGTGCGTAAGTGAATCTCGGACAGTGCTCTCCGGATGCCTCTCAATAGCACACATGATGAGAGGCAGTAACTCCTGCGGATGAAAGCGTAACAAAATAACATGAGTACAGCACTGCATGAAGAAATAGGAGACCAAGTAGATATCGATACAAATTTTGAAGGAAGAGAACTATGGGGCATCATAACTTATTATGCACGAATACAAAGTTGTCAGTGTATGGTGAAAGGACAATGAAAGAAACCTCTCTGTGATTAATAAGCACGTAAGGAACTATCTTGGGCAAAGCGTCAGCCAGTATCTGCACGGTTTCAACTTCCTGCTCGATAACGGAGCCACAAAAATTAGCGGTCATACTTTTCACAAAACGAAAACCATGCGTAGCCAAATCCAACCAAAGTCTCATTTGTTACACAAGTCTAAAATGATAAAAGAAGAAACAAACGAACAGGAAACATACTGGGTCGTGTATATCCTTAAGCTCTCTTAAGTTCACATGCTCGTTGTCTGAACGTGTGTCGTCTCTACTGTCATGTCCACCTGATGTCCTGCACCCATTGCTATCTACCAAAGTCGTGCTATTTTCTAAAATAACTTCTAGTATATCTTCTACAAAGCTAAAACCCGCATATGCACGTGTATTTTCAACAGGTGATATCCTCGTTTTTGCAATACCGTTTACACCTTCAGTTCCAGCGTCGGTCTTTGGATTTGCTGTTGCTGCGATTGAAATGGGATCAAGCTGTGCGAGGTTGGACTCTGTCTCTAGGATTGGCAATGCCGCACTTAAATTGGACTCTAACCGTGCAGTTGTTGGCTCTGCAACTGATTGCTGCACATTTTCAACTTTCCTACTCGACATCAACTTATCTAGCTCCAATTTCAATGAAGTAACCTCAGCTCTAGACTCATTTAAAAGCCTGGTTGATTGCTCAAATGATTCCTTCATTTGCTGAGCCTGCCACAAAACAGAAGAAGGTCGATAGACTCTTGTTATATTATACACGCTCACATATGAAGGTTGGTTACAAAGAAACAACCACTATAGCTTTATGATAAAATTGTTGAACAACAATAGGCTTGGAAGTATCACATGCTTAATAAAAATAATATTGCTTCCTAATTTAGGCCGAGCACAAATACTCACCTGCTTCTCCCACTCTCTCTCTCCTTTTCTATGCTGTTCCACTGTTTTGGCCAAGGACAGATTCTCCCTCTCAAAGGCTTCGTTCTGATGAAGAAGAACATCGTTTTCTTTCACAAGCGCCTCTCTATCCTGAAAGAAAGAGAATAACAAAGACACAAAGGCGTCCTTATGCATACGCTTGCATTCCAAATGGCAGAGCCGACTACAAAAGGAAAAGCGCAATAAAAGCATTGCCAACCGCAGGTCATATGCTGGGGAAGTATGTCGACGCACCAGTACCGCTTCGGCCGTGGAACAAACAAATGCGTGATAGTAATGACGAAGAGCATCAGGCACATGTGCAACAGTGTCAGGCCAGTCATCCAAATCAAGGTTCACCTGCATACAAGGTTTTCCTCATTTTCAGCTGGATACAACATGAGAAACTTGAATGGGCTTTTTAATGAACACAATCCAACGATATCAAAAGTTGCATTGCAAATACTATACGACATCGATCTTGAATAAACAGCTGCTCCTGTAATCTTACGAAAACGAAATTCATTTAGTGCCTACATCTAGAACCGGCAAATCTACATGAATTTTCTATGCCATTTCTGCCGTTTCGAACGTCCATGGAAACCTTGACGAGTTGCCGCGTAACAGACCACCAACCATACCGATGATTAAGGCTATTCCCTCTAGTTGGATTCATGCATTGCGACAATATCGTCGTACCACGATATAAAACACTTCATGCGTCAGACATAAACTCATAAGAAGGTGAGTTCTCTGAAAACGAAATACACTAAATTCTGAATTTTCAGTAGTTAAAAGATACCTCCTCTTGGAAAGTCATTGCAGATATCTTGTAGCCAGCAACCATCAGATACTCCTTAACTGCACAATTTATATCTAGCTTCTCTTTTTCACCAAGCTTCCCGAGCACTTTGACGCTCCCGTTGCTAGTCATCGATTTCTCACCATTTGTTGCAGTATCCGTCAAACTAACATCTGCCAGAGAAAAACAACAATTCTATGTCTGAGTTGTTTCGAGCAAGGATTACAGATTCTGTAAGCATACACGACGTGACTCCGGCCAACAAAATATTCAACATTCCGTTTGCTCATGACACTCTTGTAAGGCCGAAAAACACTGCAGTTCATACCAGTAAATGAAAAATCCACTTACCAGGCCTAGAAAGATCTGAAGCAACTTCCACCTGATTTGACAACTTCTCTTGTAAGTTCTTTATGTCCTCCCGAGCAAGGCGTAGTTCATACTCACAAACCGCAGCTTTTTCAGCAGTCAGCTCTTTCTCCTCGGCAAGCTGTACAGCATCAATACCTGAATATACACAGGCCCGAATTTAGGTCAGACGAATGAACCTGCAAACCCTCAAGCACTCGATTTCTCTGAGGAACAACCAAATGCGTCCTCCATGCTGCGCACCAACAATATCCATTGGTACTCTGAGCTGTCTGATCCAGGAACTAAGTTTTTCGCCCCTTCTATATCATTTGCTCGGTGACACTTCACAGGCAAATAGATGTGTAGTACTAGAAATTCTCATTTCATATGATCGTCTGAAATCGTTATAAACAATTGGTTGAAACAAAGGAGACGACCAATTCCTGAATTAAAAAATGAGAATGGATACATGATAATCTGGCGGAAAGAAGATGCACATTTAGGAGAATGAACCAAACTAATTAGGGCGATCAGATCTACGACACTGGCTCGTCATGAGGTAGACAGTGCAGAAAAGTAATGCAGAGATGGCGCACTGTTGATGCAATTTATCCACGTGAGGGAATGTGAACCTCGTTCTTGATACAATCTGCGAACCCGTATCTACAGCTCGGGAGGAATGGAAGAAACATACAAAAAAATAAATTATTTAATTAAATAAAATACCGCGAACTGGCGCGGGGACAGCGAGAAACGCAACGCATGGCAAATCGCATTCCAAACCTTGTAAGGCCTGCATTTTGGCAAGCTCTTCAGGCGGGAACATGTCGGAATTGGCGAAAAACAGCTGCAATTTCGTAGCCGATTCCACGAGGCCGTCCTCCTGAAGCTCGTGGAGAAACTCGAAGGCAGTAAGAAGGTAGTTCTCTTGAAGGAGGAAGTCGATGCACGCCTTGCGACGCATTTCATTGGTGGTGGCGCCATGCTCTCCAGATAAGCGTTCGAATGGAGGCTGCGGGGCCGAAAACGAGCTGCGAGGGGTGGCCATGGCCGCTAGCCACAATAGCCAACATGTAATCAATCTGGTGTTGATTGCTCGATCCTTCGTGTTCCTACTTCCTCTTCCTCTACTCCGACGACGAAGCTCACGCTCTTTCTGTTCCCCTCTCCCACCCGTCCTCTCCACGCTGGGCCGGGTCTGACCCGCTCGGTCCATATCACGGCCCACGGGAACAGCGCTGACGTGTCAGTAATTCATGGGAACGTTGAGGTCGTACCTGAATGCACTTCATATAACGAATGAGGGGGGCATTTCTTGGGAAGAACCAATCTACAATCCCTTCAAAAATCAAAAAAATCAAAAAATAGATGTAAAATATTATTAATGTAAAACCCACAATATATAGACTCCGCGTTTATAATTATAAAGATAACCAAACGTTTGTCTGCAATGATCCTGATATATGATATCTTGATCTCTCTCTAATGGTGATTTCTTTTACTATGATTGTTGTAATCAAACTTGGACGTACACAAGAGTGGTACATATGAATATTATCATAGTTTTCAACATGAATTATTTGCATCGTATTGAATGAAATCACACAAAACACACACACGCACACACACACACACACACAAATATATATATACATAAAATTCTTACCCTTATTTTTATTATTATTGTAATACATACAAAGCAAACATTTAATTCTAAAATGAACATTTGTTGCACTATCAATTGAATGTGAGAAAAATTACTAATCTATTTAAAGAATCAAATTTACATGATAGGTCGGTAAGACAAATTACTATTTCAAGTTTTAAAACATCATCTTGTATGAACTTCTTCAAATATTGAATACACAAACTAAAAAATCTTATAAGTCTTGATGTTGTGTCGAATCTTTGCATTTCAAGGTTTGTTTCACGAAATAGTAACCCCTTCACTCACTCAAAGGAATCCATCCATCCAAAAGTATCGATGAAAGGATGAATGAAAACAGGCCACACTCTGTTTCATCCACGTAGGGTTTCATTTGGTTTTTGTCTGCATTGCCATACCTGCACAACTTTTCCTCGTCAAGGTTTTGGCCGTTACACACGTTTTGAGCTTTCGACACAATGCGCATTGCCCTCCTGTTTTCGTCTATTTGATCGTTTGAAGTAACACGCTTGTTTTCGAGCAGAAGCAAGTTTCGCATCGTTGTTGAGAGAACTGTTCAAACCCTTTGGAGTAGAGAGGTCTCTAGACCCGGAAACATGAGTAAGAGTCTGGGCATCCCGGTGAAATTGCTCCATGAGGCAGAGGGTCACATTGTGACCGTGGAGTTGAAGAGTGGGGAAGTTTATCGCGGATCCTTGATTGAATGCGAGGATAATTGGAACTCACAGCTCGAGTCCATCACCTATACTGCTAAGGTGAATTTTCGACTTAGAGCATTAATACCTTGGAATGCTTGTGTCGGACCTTCTCATACTTCATTGTAGAAGTTAGGGCGCGTTGTGGTTATTTCGTGTAACTTCGTTTATGTGGGTTTAGGGTTTACGTAGTGCAAGAAAATATTGAAGGTCGCTCTAGGGCAATTGTTATATTGAGTTGTCAAACCCTGTATTGCCTGATATATGGGATATGTGATTGGAGCGCTCAGGACTGTTTTCACTTCTGGCGTAGAATTGCGAGAATGCTTATGTTCTCTCTTGTGGTTACCGGATTTAAAATCTCTCTGATATGACATCCCCTCTTTCATCGAAGGTCTCTCGCTTGTCAGTAGTCTTTCAGAGTGTGGAGTTTGGCAATCTACTATTTCTAGTAGAATCTCTCTATGTGAAAAAGAAAAAAAGCCGTTTATTTCTCTATTAAATTACGTTATTTGTAGGTAGTTTCAATGAAAGCACCCCCGGAACGCTGGAACAACTGTGTTAGCCACCCGGTAGCTCAAAAAAATTATTCATCTGTAAATTAGCTGCTGATCACATGGTGCGAGGTTTCATATCTCTTCTAAGTCTCTGTCTTGACTTAAAAATTAGCCTTCATTTCATTTTGGGGGGTATTAGAAGGAGTTCATCAGTCAATTTGCATGCCCGCTCTGTCCTTTCAGTTGTGAAGTGGCCTCGTGTTGACAGGTCTTTGGTTTTCGTGTTTCAGGACGGAAAAGTCTCTCAATTAGAACACGTTTTCATTCGAGGAAGTAAAGTGAGGTGTGTTTTGCTCTTCATCCTGTTCAGAAATTTGGGATTCGAGTTACTAAAATCTAATATTGGCTTTTTAGCTTAATCGTCATTGATATTTTGGGAGCTGGAGCTTCACTTTTGCATTGCTGGATTTCATATTCTGTCTGTTCTTAGAGTCCTAATTTTGATTTTGAATGGATTGTGCTATTCGCTGTTTGTCTGGTTTTTCTGCTATCTGCGCCATCCAGCGGGCGTGAAAGAAAATTCCTTGGAAGGAACTTGGGTACGAACACTTCCTAGTTAGGAAATATGGACTATCGGAATTCATGATTTCGGTAATCTTTGTGTTGCAGATATATGATCATTCCTGATATGCTCAAGAATGCCCCTATGTTTAAGCGCCTGGATGCCAAGATTAAGGTGCAATATTTTCCACCATCCCTCTTTGTTCTGAAGATGTCTCAGACGCTGTTTTCTCACGTATTAAAGTTTGTAGCCTGGGATTCTGAAGCGTTATACCATGGAAGAACAATGGGGACTTTCGTGGGTTTATTAATTAACATAACTGTGTTCAATGTGCAGGGTAAGGGATCGTCAGGTGTTGGGGTTGGTCGTGGTCGAGCATCTACCATGCAGGCAAAGGTTAGTGTGCCCTCCTCTACTTACGTTCATATCACTGTTAGGTGTTCTGAGCTAGTATTAGTTCCAAGCACTGGTTAGCTGGATAGGTGTTCAGTTTGGGTATCTGTTTTTTGGTGTTTCTGTTCTTCTAGTTTGTTTAATTTGGGGGTCATAGTATAGTATGTTGCAGTTATGAGAGCCTCAATCATCTTATTAAGTATGGTGAGATGACAAGTGAAACCAAGCTTGTTTGTTACAGAAAAAGTTGTTAAAGTTCTTGCTTTTGCGTTTTGTCTACAGGCTCGATCAGCCGCCAGAGGCTCCGTACCACCTCCAATGGGGGGTAGAGGAGCTGCACCTCCCATGAGAAGATAAGTGAATGTGACCTGCTTGATTAACACGTCTACCGGTAAAATGGAAGTTTGACACGCAATAACTTCTCAGCCTTTCTTCGTGTTCAACGCTGAGGCGTATGCCTTCTGTATTACAGATCACCGTCTAATCAAAACATGGTTCTTAGTGTAGGCTACTGGATATGCTTCACCAGATCATAACAAACTTCCTATCCATGCTGTGTGGTGACATTTCTTAAGTCTTCATGGTGACCTGCAGGTTTTAGATGAGATTCAGGTTGTACAGCTAGGTTTTGCAGGTGATCAAACTTTTTGAACTGTAATTTCACACGTGGAAATTCGAAAGCTTTACAGTCCCTCCGTAAGTCTGTTTGCTATGCTTTTTTTCACTCTAAGTGATTCATAGACAAAAGTTAAGTTTTAATTTTTAGTTTTTCATAAATCTGTCGGTAACTCCTATGAAGACTAAAAGAAACATGTTGAATACTTAGAGTTCTCACTCTTATAAGTATTGACTTTTAAGAATATTTTGGTAAGATGTATATTTGATGTTTTGTCCAAAAACCACAGAATGAATTGTATTTTTCATTGACTGCCAGTGGAGGACGTTTTTGTCAGCGAACATTTCATTGGGAACGATTAATTGAAGAACAGTTATGTCAATACCTCGTAATTATTCTAAAATAAATTACAGAAGTTTAATATTAATTATTGATCTTAATGAACAGAAATATAGCCAGAACAAAGCCTGATGTAATATAAAAATACAGGACTCTTATTTGTTGTCTTTTTGGTTCAGGAAATTAGTTTCTAATAAAAATGTGATTATATAAGAAAATAGTGGTTTAGTAACACGAAGTCCTTATACTTTTGGTAGGGTCTATTGTTATAAAATTACGAAATTTGTACATTTGATTGGATAGTTTTAATCATCATTTATTTGATTGTATTGTGACTTTATTTGATTGTATAGTGGGTAGGAGTCGTTTAAAATGGTGGCTTAGATACCCTGGCAAGTGAGGTTGCTTTAAATACGAGTACTAGCCAAGATGATATTTGTAGTTAAAATTGAAATTATTTTCACAATATGTGTGCAACTGAATAAATAAATTCATTAATATATATAAACATCTTCAATATTTTTTATTTAAAAATATATATATCTATTAGATGTGTGCTTAAGTAATTATATTCTTATCTACAGAAATGATTGTAATAATTACAAAACTATTATGAACAATTCTAATGCTCTTTTATTAAGATTATCATTTTATGTACGTGTTATTTAATTTTACTAAATTTTTTACATTTATAAAACTAAACAGTTAGTTATTTTATACAAATAACTTAACTTCTCATTTTTTTTTTTCTTTGTCACAATAGTGACATGTATTCAAGAGATTTTTTGCATAGCAAAGACAAATCTCATAACTATAACGTCACTAATATAAATCTAGGTGCTTGTAGATCATATTGTTTTAAAACATTGCAATTTTTCTTTAATTCTTATTAAATTTTATCACTCAATTGTATACTTAAGGATTATTTTTCAATATAAATTCTATCAACCAAGCATAATTCTTCGAGTTCTGATATTGAAGAACATGAAGAACCCAAAATATAATTATATTAATTTCCATTTCTTTTATAAGACTTTGCAAAAATTTGACCAAATTTATTTCATTTCATTGCCATCTTGGATAACATGCATAGTTTAATTCTCATCTCAATTTAGGTAATTCTATTTGTGACTAGAAACTTCTTGAAGAATCATTGTACTTTTTACACTTAAAGATAAGTGTGTAGAATATACATTGTAGAATTCCATGACAAATCCAAACTATTTTTATATAATTTTTTTATAATATATATATATATATATATATATATATATATATATATATATATATTTAAAATAGAAGATCAAAAGATATATTAGATTGGATTTGCTTAACAAAGATTGAATTAATAGTCAATATTGATTTTATTGCTTAAAGATGAAATCGCTCAACTTTTAAAACAACCCTTCTTTATTTATCAAAAGTAGCATTTCTTTCTTTTTGTGGAAGATAATAACATCTAGAAAGAACATCTAATAAACCTTGTTATTTTCTAGATTGATATGTGATCTTAAAATCAAATTTTAATAATGACATGCTCCAATAAGTATAGCAATAATTCAACATGTATGTTAATATGAATTACTCAAGGTTCTTGTGATATGAATACATAATGATTGGACTAAAAGCACCTTTTAGATAATGATGTCATTCTTAAAAGAATCAACAATTGATTGAAGTTTTTTTTATCATGGATTTCATAGTTGATCACAACTATTAAAAATTTCTTGGAATGAAAAGTTATTGATGGAGTTTGTCATCTACTCATATTTGTGATAATATTGCATCTTAAGCAAAGTCTGATGCACTTCTTTCCATAAAACATTCTTTGAAGAAATTAATGATATACAAGATTGATACAAAAATAAATTCCTTCTTCATGGCATCAAATGATACTTTGACTTCTTATCTCCACTCAAGTTTGTTTTTATAAGTCAAACTTGTAAGTAGGGCTACAACTTCAAAAAAAGATTCAATAAAGATCTAGTAGTAACTGGCAAAGTCTAAAAAATATTGTACATTTCTAACTATCCTAAAAATCTTCTAATCTATAATAGTCTAAACCTTCTTCAAATCCATTATGAAGCCTTTATAGGAAATGATATATTGTAGAAAGTCAATTTGAGTAGTATGGAATAAATATTTTTTATATTTTTATCTTAATATATAATCTTGTATCTCTAAATTTTTGTAAGACACAACGAATATGAGTTCATGTTTTTTTGTGTTTTTAGAATAAATTAGAATGTCATCAAAATAGCAAATAACAAAGAAAAAAATCATCAAGAAAACCACAAAAGATGTCATTTATGAGATGTTAAAAAGTGGCTGGTGCATTTGTAAGTCCAAAAGACATAACATTATTTGTGAAGTGTCTTAATTCAATTCAAAAATTAATCTTTTATTCATCTCATTTTTTGATGCAGATTAAGTTGTATGCTCGTCATAGATCTATTTTTGTGTAAATTTTTGCTTGAATGAGTTGGTAAAGAAGTCTTGAAATTAGAAGTAGAAGTGTCACGGATATATATATATATATATATATATATATTTATTCCAATAGTTACTTATATGATTAGGTAGAAGTAGGTAAATATAGATTAATTTCATAAAGTCTTTTAGAAAAGCTTCTTCAAAGCTTCATAGATGCAGTTTTGACTTTAGATATATTTGTAGGATAGAAAATTTGCCAACAAGTTAATCACATATTGATAGCTTGTGGAACAAGTTAGTATGTGGTACATACATAGATAACTTGCCTTGCAAGTTAAGACATGTAGTTAATAAAGTCAAGACGTTTTGGAGGTCCTATAGGACATTGCCTAATTAAGTGTATATATGGAGGCAAGATTAAAGCTTTCTTCACTCTTGTCAATGTTGTCGTATTATGACACAATGATATGGTGAAAATATGACTAAAAATAAAATTTTAATTAATATTCTATTATATTAGCTCAACAAGAATTCAACATATTTTAATAAGACTTTTATGAAAGCCTATTAGCCTATCTTCTTGTCTTAACAGTAAGTAGATAAAAATTAATTAATATTTTTACCTTTATAGGATATAAAAACTCTTTTACAGCCTTAGAAAGTTCATAAATTGATAATATCAGGTTAGAAGAGATAAATAATTATTATAGTTCATACTAGAATTAAGTTGAAGATAGGATTGGACTAAAAAAATCCTTAGGATAGGTTAGATTGATATCCGAGGGTTGATTGTTTGTAAAACAGGGTCAAAATCAAACCTCTGGCCACTAAAACAATCACCTAGGACAAAATAGGGTTTCATTTGAAGATCAAAGATTAGGATTTGAGAACTAGGTTAAAGCTTCTTTCAAAGAAGTAAGGTTGATTTATGTAGGATTTGGAGAGAGTTAACAATTATTGTTCAAAGTTAAGGTTTATATTGGCAATTTGGAATTTATGCAATGAAATTAGAGTTAGCACTCTCAGTTAGTTCATAAAATTAATATTACATCTATAATTCAAATTTTGATACACCTTGGATAATTAGATGTCTTAAGTGTACGTGAAATTTTGTGATAATGTAATGATGCAATTGATAGATATCTGGGTTTTGGTACAAATATATATTGAAAGTTAGTAGATTAGGAGTGGATAGGGTTTCTATGATATCTAGAGATTAACTTGTTGGATTAAAGTGAATTTGGCATGGTGTTGAAAGATCAAGCTGCAAACCAATTTTGAATAAAAGTTAATGGTTGAAAAAAGAGAAATCATTGCCACAATTTTTTCTTCACCTTTCAAGTTGGCGGCCGAGTGACATCAATATAGTTTTTGGAGGTTTCTTCACAATCCATAAGTTAGATGGGGCTGAAAATTCTTAAGCGTATGGAAGACTTATATTAACAATTGCATGAAAATTTTTACATCAAGTGAATAATAAGATTAGAAGTTATAACTTGTCAAAGCTCACTAATTAGAATTAGGGCCAATAAGATAAATTTAAATTACTTAAATATGAAAGTAACAAGGTAATTGAGATTTACGTGTAAACGAGGCTACTAAGAAGAGTGTTTTTTAGTACTTTTGAATTGATATTTGGATTATATTCTTCTCATATAGGTGATACCTATTAGGGTTTCTTGGATGTTTGTGAAACACAACTTCACCTTCCATAGCTAGGTGCCTAGTGCATTCATAAACAAGGAAACATATAATACAACATGAGTGGTGAATCCGATGTGAAAAGCTTGAGGTAGAAGGTATTTGGAAATTTTTCTTGGTTTATTTGAATTATAGAAAAAGAAGACAAGAAGATGGAAGGATGAGTTTTTGATGGTGCTTCAAGTGGAGTTGGAAGTCGAGCTTCAATTGGAGGACAATATATGTATTTTGACCTCAACTGTGCAAGCATGTTTGAGGCATTTGCCTTATTCATGCAACAACAAAAGATTAAAGATCGCAAAGAGAATATAGCAAATAAAGCATTACAAATGGTTGTGAATAAGATTGATCAATTTGAAGGGAAGAATATCACAAAATACTTAAGGTATTATGTAAAGGAAATGGAATTGAAGCATATTTTAGAGAACAAGATGATCAATTATTTGAATTGGCTAGTGTACCAGAAATAAGAAGTCATGTGAAGTCCATTATAGGACAATCTGGAGGTTCATGGAAAAATTTATCTCAAGTATTAAAAGATGAGTATTTTTTAGAAGACAATGAGAAGGTTATAAAAAAGCTATTTTTTGAGTCGATTGAAAGACCTAAGAAGGGTCTCCAAGCAATAAAATTAT